GAAGAAGTATACCATCATGTAACTTCCAGTGACCGCAATGACTTAAAAACCATCTTGTAGGAGCCATGTGCTAGTTCATCTCAAAACACAGAAAAGATACCGCATTCTGCCAAATGCTCAGTCCAAAAAGTGTAAAAACCATGATTGACTTTAGAGGAATTTTTAATCTCAGTAAACAGTGCACAAAATGGCCCATAGGATGAAAGAATTTTAAGCCTAAAGGAAAAAGTAATTAATGGAGAAAGGCCTTGGTGCAACAAATCCCATCAGTGCTCAACTACAAAGACTTTTATTTTATAGTTCATATCCCTTCTGCAGTTTAGGTATTTTTTCTTTTGTCCTAACATATACTGCTCTGATCTGGTGATCAGAAGTCTCTTTCTGTCCACCTCTCTGTTCACTCTTGCTTATTTCAGTTCCTAATTTTTTATTCCTCTTTACTGTATCAATAAAGAAAGTAATCTTCTTCTGGAAACATGATTATAGGGCACACACAAGAATGAATTGTACTAAAAACCCATGTAAATAATTTATGTTAAAATATTTAAGTTAAAAAGAATAATTTCTATAAAAATTTCATTCCTATGGAAAAACAATAGGAAAATCAACAATGTTTTTACATATATACATATATGCATAAATTCACAGAAAGGGTTTTAAAAGTATATCTAGTGGTCTTTATATATCCTACTCATTTTCTAAATCTGAAGAATCTATAGTAGATAGTAATACGAAAATAAAAAAGCAATTTGATTCTACTAAAATTGGATGAGAATGAAGAAGTAACACGATCCACTACCAGTGTCAATACAGTTCTAGAGAATAAGAACTGATGAGCCACAGTTTTTATATTAATACATTCTTAAAGAATATAAAATTGAAGAATGAAAACATTAAGACATTCTTGCCTTTTGAATTAATTTTAGCTTATAAATGCCATGTGCTTAATCTTAGACCCGCTAACACGAACATCACATGATGTAGGAAATTTTAATTAATCTTCTATTCTGCATTATACAAGGATACCTGCAAAAAATAAGATCTTTGTTCCTTAGAAGTTTATTTGCTCCTGTTGGTGCCTTTTCCTCTGGATATATCTAGTCCAGAAAGATCATTATTAGAGTTATCACAGATAATATTCTCAGAATAAGAACTTAAGGCTTTAAATATAATCATAAATGGGATCTAAACTTTGGAAGGAAACAAACAAAAAAAACCTACCCTGTTTCCACAAAGTAGACAAGGGAAAGTAAAAGAGAATTGTGAGCTCACGAAAGTATTTTTGATATAGGGTTTTTAGAAGGCATCAATGAATCTTTAACAACCCTGCAGTACTATGAAGTTTGTAGTTTATATACTTATGACTACGACAAGTACTCTTTATAAAAAATCCAAATGTGTATTTATATATGGGGACAGGGCACATTTAAAAGGTTAGTTCTCGTAAAAAGTTCAGTAATTTTTTAGGTTGGAGTATTTTTTTTTTTTTTTTAAATTGGAGTAGGTCACCCAATGAAGGTAAGTACGCCAACCTGTATGCTGTATTAAACTTCACGGAAAATGAAATGTAGCTTGATGAAGTAGTGCAGATGTGCTTAATTCTCTCACCATCCATATCCTTTGCAAAAGGAAAAATGCTTTTGACAGTTATTTCAATCCAAGGAATAATGTCCCCCACCCTTCCCTTCCTTATACTCAGCAATTTGAGTTATAGTATCATTTCTAAAAGTTAATTCTCTATATCCTTGTGGCTAGGGGCATTCTTATTAAAATTTCAGTATAAAAACATACCCTGAAGAATTTTATTGCTTGCATACATGATGGCATTGTAGATGCCATTATTACAAAAGTGGCTGGTGGCATTTTTCATTATTGAGTCCCACTTAAAACCTGGAGATAAGTCTGCACTACATTTCATACTTCATATACCAAATGGTAGACTTTTAGTAAAAGCAAAATTTAAGCTTAAAAAATCTGGAATGTTTTGTAATGAATAGCAGTTTCTATCAAAGAAGTATTTTTTAAGTTTGGAGAAAGGGCACTTTGAAGATGACTTGGAAAGCACCAGATTAGGGAAAATAAAGAATAAAACCTATATGGAATGTTGTTTTTAACTGGAAAGCAATCAATTGTTTTTTTATGTTCAATTTGTCATGCTGCTCAGGTGTCTCAGAAACCAAGACATATGATGGTTCTTGAAACCAATCACACTTTGATGTCTTTCGGTTTAGCTGGATGTTTACTAAATGCCTAAGAGTATTCCCTTGCCTTCCTCCAAGTAAAAGCACTAGTGACTCTTTATGAGAAACAGGTAAGCCTGCTTCAATGCTTCTCTTTGTGCTTGTCTAAAGAACATGGGGTGTGCCATGAAAGATGGTAACTGGAAAACCAGAAATTCTCTTCTAGTACTATTATTTCTAATTTTTTGGAAAAATTAAAGATAATGTTAAGAGCATGACAATATTCTTTTTACATACTCTTTTGATAATCTAAATTAAATAATGATATTTACTGAGCCAAAACTTGAGTGTATCCATGTTACTCCCCTTGCAGGATAACAATCTTCTCACTGTTCAAAATAGTTTTCAAAAACAATCTGGCCCATAAATCTTCTAAACTGGCCCTTATGTTTCCATTGCTCTATTCACAATTTACGAAAGTCATGTTCTTCTGATAATCCCTCTATGTTTTTATTGCTTCTCTTTTCTGGAGATTAAGAATGCCAATACATCACCTACGGCTATAGTGTAACCATCTCAAAAGCCACCTTGAATATATACTTTGTACATACACACACAACACCTCCCCCCATAGGATTCGCAACTAGAAAAGAGAAGTAATGTAACATTTCTTTCAGTCGGTCCCTGATGTGATAGGGCTTAAGAAGCTACACCTTTATCTCTTTCTGATTCCAAATATTTGGTTTAATGTTAATGATCATGGCTGAAATTCCTTTTATAGAGGAAGGCAATCTAATTTTGTCAGCCATAATTAGTTTACCTTCGCCTTTGGAGTGGGGGGAAAAAGGAGAGACTTCAAATATTTCTTAAAACAACAGGCCTGAATAAATGTGTGGCTGTCTCAAATTCTGAGTGAATCCATTCTACACTTAAGATATAATTCTCGGGGTGCCTCGGTGGCTCAGTGGGTTAAAGCCTCTGCCTTCCGCTCAGGTCATGATCCCAGAGTCCTGGGATGGAGCCCCACATGGGGCTCTCTGCTCCGAGGGGAGCCTGCTTCCTCCTCTCTCTCTCTGCCTGCCTCTCTGCCTACTTGTGATCTCTGTCTGTCAAAGAAATAAATAAAATCTAAAAAAAAAAAAAAAAAAAGATATAATTCTCAAAAGCCAAAATAGTGGGGTCGTTCTTGTGGATTTCTAGCAGACTGAGGCATTTAAAAGTGATAATGTTTGGGGCATAACAGGGTAAATGGGTAAAAAAATACCTAATCTGAGAAAAAGATTAACTTAAATAGCCAACTTAATGTGAGATCTTAATCACAACCACAATATAATGAAGAGCAGCCTTTGTGATAAGAAATCATGTTTTGACTATTAAAAATTCCCCAGATGACGGGAAAAAATGCTCAGACTCTCTTCAAACATCTTGTACCTCCCAAACCTGCCATTAAAATATTGCTTTTCATTACTGTGTTTTCCCCTCCTCTTCTTTACTGAGGTGGTTTAAAGAGTTGAGCATAAACTCCCTCTAATATCTATTTATCTGCCCCTCAAACACAGGTTATCACATGTGAATTTCGTTTCCCATCTGACGAAGGGATAGGCCCACACAGTTATCTAAGTGTTAATTATGTATAGTCCTCATTTAACCATGCTTAATTGCCTTACAGAATAGAAAAACATTACAATAAACGTAGTTTCCATATGTCCCAGTTCTATATCAAGTCAGGTATCTTGTACAGTTTAGGTTTCTGTGAACATTTTTGCACATGCTGATATTAACTGCTGCAACAATTGCAGGACTGTGAAAGGTAAAATAACCTGTGTGACTTCGACCACTCCAGTGGCCAAATACTCAAGACTGAAGCATTAATTAAATCCTCATTATATATTTAAATAGGTATTATTAGCACCTTCAAAGAGAGGCACTGTTTTAAATAGGCACAGAACGAAAAAATAGTACTTTAAAAATACTGTTGGAACTAATATATCCCATGCCACATAAATTACTGCTTTTTCTTATTATAAAAATATCAATACCCTTAGATGTCAATCAGTTAAACATAAACCACCAAAAACATTTCTGAAATTTAGAACATTGTTCAAATCCAAGATAAAACATGCTTTATATTTATAAAATAAATTAGAGACAAATATGAACCTAAAGCTGAAAAGCATGTATAATATAATTATATCCATATTTAATACTATATACACATAATTGCTATATACTTGAAATAGTTTCTTCTTAGGAATATTTCTACAAAAACAAGTACTATCTTTTCTTAATAAGTTGAAAGTTTGAACATCAACAATTTGTCCTTTTTGTTTTAAAAGACCTTACATTATTTATGCAGCTTGAGCTTTATAAACTAAATTAAATAGGTTAATAGCCTAAACTGTCCCTGTATTTTTTTTTAATACCACGGATCTATTTTGGCAACATGGAGGTATATCTTTCAAACTGTTACAAGTCCTACCTGTGAGGGAGAAAACATGGAAGGACCTTAGATGCAAGTGGCCTATTCTAACCTGATAGTGATAGAATCCATTGATACCATCTTCTTCAAGACAAAGTACATATGCAAGGAATAGCTCATTAAAAAAATGCTCCATTTTCACATTATTTCAAACTTTTATCGGTAGAATGGCTCTGCACATCAGTTTCACTAAGGGTACAGAAACAGGAAAATAGTCCCCCAAAAGATGCATTTATGAGCCTATATTTTCCAACATAAAGTGCTAAGAGATGAATAAGGAGGGCTGGGAATGTCTTGGGCTGTAAATCTTGAGACCTCCATGTCATGGATGGTCCTGGAGTTCAGCATTCTAATTTTTTCTTAGGTTCAGCATGATCATCCAAGGTGGCTGGATGCTTGTTGGGACCATCTGGTGTCTCACCTGTGACAGCTAAAAAGATGATTTTCAGCCACTTCTGTTTCAGTTCCTCACTGTCTGCAGCAAAGCTGTGCACAGACTTGGATTGGGTCAGTTTGAAACTGTGGGGCAGGTCTGCACTCTTTGGCAGATCATCCACAACATAGCCGAGGAGTGGAATGGTGGCCTGGGCTCGGACGTCCTAAGGAAAAAACATGGTACATAGGAGTGTGAGATGTATTCGCTTGTTATCCATGGCCCTTTGTGATCTGGCTCCCACTAACCCTTTCCCTATTGCTGTTCCACAAAGACTCATGCTATGAGCTCTCTGTGGACAGAGACTGGGATCCAATGCTTAGCATACTGCCCAGACATGAGGTCACTGAAAATGTTGGCTGAATGAATTAACGAATGAGAGCAGATACCTCAATCAGCCAAGATTCACAGACCCTACACCCCATCCCCCTGTGAAGGAGTCCATTTAGCTCTTCATTCAGATGAAAAGGGGAAAGAATAATAGTTATCTTACTGTACAAAACCACCAAATGCTAATGATGATTTGATTACCAAACAGTTTTATTTGATGATCCATTCATTCATGCATCAATTTATTTAAGGACAAGAAAAGGGTATAGGAAAAATAATGAAATAGAAGACAATATATACCTTGGTATTTTAAGTTTTTTTTTTTTAAGATTTTATTTATTTATTTGAGAGAGAGAGGGCACAAGCAGGGGGAGCAGCTGAGGGAGAGGGTGAAGCCGGCTTCTGGCTGGGCAGGGAGCCCAATGCAGAACTCGATCCCAGGACCCTGGGATCTTGACCTGAGCCGAAGGCAGGCGCTTAACTGACTGAGCCAGCCAGGTGTTAAGTTTATTTCTAAAAAAATTTTTTACCAGCCCTTAATATGGATATAGGCTAAAATACAACAGGTACATTTAAGATTTTATCTATTTCCAGGTGAATGCAGGTGTTTTTCCACAATGCCTGGTGCTGTTCTGGTTAGAGGCTAAACCTGCATCTCTGTTACTCCCTCAGGTTTAGCTCAGGTCCATGTTTACATGGTTCTTAGAAACTTGTTACTGGACAATGAAAATCTGAGGTTGATTTAAATTCCCTTTCCTCTCAAATTCCTTTCTTCTTCAGGTATCCATCCATTCAGGAAAACAAAAACAAAAACAAAACAAAACCCAAACCTATAATTATTTCCCTTCACCAAACAGGCTCCTTCTCCTCCTTGGTTCTTCTTCTGCTTCACCCCTGCTTCCCATACCCCTTCCCAATCCAGCTCATCCTTTCTCAAATCACTGAATAGGAATGAGAGGAGGGGAGAAGGCAAATGCTGCACAGGGTGAAGAAACTATGGGCTATATCTTAAAAAAAAAAAAAAAAAAAAAGCTTAAAAAAATAAAAGTCAGTTTAAACTTGAATTTTAGTTCCTAATTATTGTTCAACTGTAATGAAAGACAATGCAACTGTCTGAGCTCTCTTGTTCTGTGGAAGAGTAATGGAAGGATTTTGAGTTCAGTGTCTCTTCACCTCCGCCTGTGCCCCAGGACCTCTGCCCCTTCAGAAAGATGCAGGTTAGATACCTGGGGGGCACCGTACATGTACAGCACAAGAGGGTCTTGTTTGGGGATCACACACCAAGCTTTCTGCCAAGGTTTTGACTTCTCCATATACTGAAGAAAGCTGCACACTACACTGTTTCCAGATACTTCTGCTGATTCAATCTAGAAAAATATAATGGAAAGAGAGTGAGAGAGATAGAGAACACAAAATGAACAAGGCGGAGAAGTAATTCACCTTAAGGGAATAATCACAAAGTACAATACATTCATATAAAATTTCTCTTGGGAATGTCCAAAAAGGTTCATGGCAATGTTTATTTAAATACTCATCTAGATTTTTCATGAGCCAGAGAAAATATTTAAATGAATTTTAACTCTTTGTAGCACCAGACCTGAAATTTTAAAAAAGTTAAACATTCACTGACTGCTTGCTATGCAGGAACATTTTTTAGTTCACTATGTGTATTATTTCATTTAATCCTTACACTGACACTAAGAAGATACCCCTTCCCTTATCTATGAGGTTCAGAGATGAAGTAACTGTCCCCAGGTCACACATTTAGGAACCGGTATGCTAGGCATTTGGGTCTGGATCCAGAGCCTGCCCTTTTACCACAATGCTATACCAGCTTCAACTGTGTAACAGTGCAACAGCAAAAAGGCAAATACTGACCAGCAAGTTTTGTCCTGGAATCTGAGATAATTTAAAAGTTCTGAAAATGGCAACAACTCTTTGTAGACCCATTTAAAGTTTTCTGCTTTGTCTCCTGATACCTATATCTCTGGTTAAAAAAAACAAAAATAAAACCCTTGGACTAAATGATAGATTTTATTATGCACATTATGGGAAGCGAGTGGTTTGTTTCTATTTTCGATTGCTCTAATCGTTAGGGTAGTGCTACTCAATGCCCACCACTGAACAGTGCTGGTTCAGACTGTTTTGCTACCCCTTCAATATAAAGCACAGAAAGTAAGAGTAAGCACTTAGAAACTTTTAGAGCAACTGGGCTTTGTGACAATACACAAGCAACATAATTATGTTACAAAAATATTGAGCCGTGGTGATTTGGAAATAAAACTGGCCCTTCATCACAGATAGTTTAAGAAGCACTGGCTGGCAAACTAGGGCCCATCAGCCCACCACTTGTTTTTGTATGGCCTATGAGCTAAGAATAGTTTTTAAGGATGAACATTTAAAATCAATTTGACGACAGCAAACACTAACTCTGGACTCCAATTAAACGAACTGCTCTCTCCCTTACTTGTGAAGAATTCCAGTCTTATTGCCATATTATAAAAAGTTATACTAAGTTATTACTAAATTTTGAATTCTTTCAAAAAATTGTGAAAATATTTTTCTTTTTTTTTTTTTCTTGTTATAGAAGTAATATTCCATTTTTCCTCTTGGCCTGAAAAGACTAAAATAGTTTCTCTCTGACCCTTTACTGGAGAAGTTTGTTGACTTTTGGTCTAGAGCACATAACAAACTCGCTGGCATGAAGCCAGTTTCAAATACGTGTGTACATGTGTGCGCATGTGCACATATATATATTATCTTGACCTCACATTATATATTTATTTGATTAAATGTGTTAACCTGGTAACTTGTCCTCCAAATAAAGTTTTTTTTTGAGAAAACTACCTAGAGTTTTTTTATTTCATAGATACAGGCTGAAATTCATCCCTTAGCACAAGTTATTTGACTCATTCTATTATGCCAGTTTCATCAGTTGCTGTGTTTAAGTCTCAAGGCTGTGTTCCTGGGAGCTAATGAAATGTGTCTCCACCTTCCCGCCTTGGTCTGCCTGTAAGCAACATATATACCCTAGAAGGATTCAGTTTTATACTTTTGAGCTTGTCAGCCTATACTTTAACCTTCAATGGACACTGAAGTTTAGGATTCTTTTTTAGTTAACAGAAATGACCTTTGTAAGCTTACACTGTATAGATGCTCAATAAATGCTTATTGATTCTTAATAAATCATGGAAATTCTTTATAAACCAAGTGTGTCTCTGACTTTAGATATATTGGAGTCTGATCATGAGCCTATTATTCTTCACAGACCTTCCAGGTTATGTTGAACTTTCTGCCACAAAGGCCTTACTACATAATTTATTCCTTACATTAATGTGCTTTTGAGTATAAAACTCATTTCAGATACAAGCTGTGTTATAGTTCCCCGGCTTGGGAGGTTCTGACTTTAGTTTGAAAACATGAGTCAAATTCATTTGCAAGACATTTCAATAATATTTCAATGCAGTTACCAGATTAGTGTCACTGGCTATTAAATGATGCTTTTAATGCAATAAGTTGGTAGATATTTTCAGGTAATAAATACTTTAATATGAATTCTAATAATTTCAAACAATGGCTTTTGAAGCCAATATGATAAAATTGACAGAAAAGCTTTTCTATTAAAAAATATACTATAAGTTAGGCACTGGAAGAGACAATTAATACTCTAATATTTGATAATAGCCATCTTCACAAAACCATCATATTTCACTCTCAAATGCATGTGATTAAAATACAGCACTTGTCCCTCTTCTTTCTACACAACTGAGTATGATCCCCAAATTCAGCAAGATAGGACAAAAGTATGAATCTTGCTTGTTCTTCAAATTGTTAAATATTAAGAGAAATAACAAAATATGCTTTTGTATTCTTCAGGGTTAAAAGACAATTCTACATTCCTTGAATAAAAATTTAAATGTTACCAAACATTTAGTGTTCCATACCTCTAAAATTCCTTTTCTTTTTTTTTCTTCACTATCTGTGAATCCACTTATTATTTGATAACAGTCTTTACAAACTTTGTTTAATTTTCCACCATCATACTCAAGTTGAGCTTTGTAATCAGAACACTTCCAACAAACCACCTTAAATTAAAAAGAGTGAATAATCAACGGTTTGAGCAATAATCACAGTAATAATAAATAAGAAAGAGTTAAAAACCATGATGAGATACTACCTCGCGCCTGTCAGAATGGCTAACAAACAACACAAAAACAATAGGTGTTGGGGAGGATGTGGAGAAAGGAACCCTCTTGCACTACTGGTGGGAATGCAAACTGGTGCACCCACTGTGGGAAACAGTATGGAGGTTCCTCAAAAATTTAAAAATAGAACTACCCTATGGCCTAGCAATTATACTCAAAGATTACAAAAATACTAATTCAAATAGATATATGCATCCAATGTTTATAGCAGCATTATCTATAATAGCCAAACTATGGAAAGAGCCCAAATGTCCACTGACTGATGAATGGATAAAGAAGATGTGGTGGCATGCACATGCGCGCGCACGCACACACACACACACACACACACACACACAGGAATATTACTCAGGCATCAAAAAGAATGAAACCTTGCCATTTGCAATGACATAGATGGAGCTACAGAATATTATGCTAAGCAAAAGAAGTCAGTCAGAGAAAGACAAACATATGATTTCACTCATATGTGGAATTTAAGAAACAAAACAAATGAACATAGGGAAAAAAAGAGAGAGAGGGCCACACCAAGAAACAGAGTCTTAACTATAGCGAACAAACTGATCATTACCAGAGGGAGGTAGGGAAGGCACTTAACAGTGATGGGGAGTAAGGAGGGCACTTGCTGTGATGAGCACTGGGTGTTGTATGTAAGGGCTGAATCACTATATTGTGCACCTAAAACTAATACTACACTGTATATTAAACTGGAATTTAAATAAAATCTGTAAAAAATTATCTTCTTGTTTCTGGAAGCATATTTTCCCAATTTATAATAAACTATGAACATATAAATATTAGTAAAACTTCATTTGGGTTCATAGCTTGTAAATTCATGATAAAGAACTATTCATTGTTTTCTCAAAATTACAATGAAATTACTGTTGGATTTGAAATTAGACATGCCTGCATCTGCATATTCATATCAACTACCACCTTATTTATTTCCAAGTCACATTATAGTATTTTGGTAATCCACATTCAAACACCCTTCTGTTTGTTTACTGAAGGTAAGACTACCAGTCAATGCCTGAAATCGTTTCAAGCAAACTCAATGACAGATCAAAAAGTCTTACCATGAGGAGGGTAAAAGTTGTTTGCTATCAAACTGAATTTGATCACAGAGTTGTTTCACTGAGAGAAAACTCAGGAAAAAAAATGGAAGAATAAATCTGCAGTAAGAGAATAATCTAAAAGAACTATCAATACGAACTGTTTTGCACTTTAGCATACTAGTAATATATTAAATCACAGCACTACAATGCCTACCCTTCTTTGTTTACTTGTCACTTTTTAGAAGAAAGTATATCACCTTCAGCTTGGTTTACAAGGCTATCCAAAACCTGTTATCTCTTTCCTGCTTCATTTCATGCCTCCTTCTTCCTCACGCTTTCTATATGAAACAACTCAAATCACTGAAAACCTGTCACCTGCCTTCTCTGGCCAGAGGTATTGAATTTTGTGAGAACAACCTTGCCAGTAAATGGACTGAGTGTCCCTTTACATGCATAACCATAAACCTCTAATGGGCACACAACCTGTTCCTTGGGGAGGCTCACTCCCCTGCCCAGAGACAACTATTTCATACTGAGCCCTCTTTCTTGACTCTTCCCCCCTCTCCACCCTTACCCCCTTTTCTTTCAGCCGATGACTATTCCTCATACTTCAATGACAATTATCATTATGCTGAAAATTTCCTACCACAAAATCAAAAACACACCCACATTTGCACCCATCATTACCTTTTTCGTTTTTGTTATAATGGAGGGAAGTTTCCCTCTCCCAGCAGAAGCCTGAACTTCCACGTATGCTATTTACATTCCGTCTCTTGTTTTCTCAAGGACATCAACTCCTTTGGTTATTATTTACTTCTAACTATTTCTTATGCCACAGTTCCACTTACTCATCGGGCTCTTGCCTCATGACCTCTGGCACCTCAAGAGCAGACCCAACCTTCTCCTATCTCAGGGCTTCTGATATAGAGTGCCACTCCACACCTTTCCCACCTTCCTTGGCATGGTTAGCTCCTTCTCACCCTCATCAGCTTAAATAACAACCTTCAGATAGGTCTTTATTTTTCTTTTCTTTATTATTATTTTTCTAATAGGGGGACAGGAAGAGGGGAGGGGCAGATGGAGAGGAAGAGAGAGAATCTTAAGCAGGCTCCTTGCCAGGGTGTGGAGCTGGACACAGGGCTTGATCTTATGACCCTGAGATCATGACCAGAGGTGAAATAAAGAGTCGGACGCTTAACTGAGCCACCCAGGTGCCCAAGGTCTTCATTTTTCTAAGTAAAAGTGGTTTTAAGTCCTCCCACATTAACATTATTCTCCATTCTAACCTCTTCATTACCTCTTGTTTTTATAGTAATTTGAAACGCTTATTTGTCTATTTACTTGACTTTTGTTATTTTCTCCATTAGAATGTAAGATATGTGAAGAAGGGTATCATTTTGCTCACCATTTTTCTCCAGGACCCAGCACAGTGCTTTGCACATAGCCATCACCAAAATAAGTTTATCAATTAGGTGGCTGATTAATTAAATGACTTTTTTTGTCTTTTCAAACTTGATGATTATATAACACCTATCTAGTTACTAGCAACCTTATGATCATTAAGAAATCTCACAAAAAAAAAAAAAAAGAAAAAAGAAATCTCACTCACATGTCCACATGCTCGACAATGATGCCTTCTTCTTGTCAGTGCATTGAAAGACTCTTTGCATTTCATACACATCGTTACTTCATTATCTCGGATCCATCTTGGAGCTCTTTTCCCCAGCTCAGCAGTCTAAATAGGATCGAGTTTTAATAGAAAAAGCTGTCATTTCCATCTATTTATTTACTTATTTACTTATTCATTAAAAAGCACTTTGACAACACTGCTCATATCTTGCTTTGAAACTCAAGACCTAGGAAAAGAAATAAAAGGTTTAAAGAAGTTTAAGCACCATACAAAGGCACTCATATTGTATTCATGTAAGAAAGAATGAGATTCTGTCTAAATAGCCAGTTCTGGCATTGCAAAGAGAAAAGGCAACATAAGAAAATGATTAGACAGATCTGCAACTGCAAAGAGAAAAGAACTTAAAGAATTCATTTCAACTTACAGAAACTTCTAAGTGCATGTCATTATCCTTTGCAATTGCATTTCTGAAGGTTTCATGCCTCTGATGGAAAGCATCAATGGTCTCTTGAAGAGCCTAAAATATAAAGGAGATTCAGAGCACACATTAAAATATCACATGCAAATTAATGAAAATGCTTTATCAAACAAATGTCTATGATGTAAGAGTGATCTTAAAAATTAAATGACCTTGTTCTGATGACAATATGTGTACACTCTTATATGTGCATGTTTGTGCACACAGACAAAGGTTACCAAAAAACAAAAATAAAAAATAGATATATGGTTTACCTTAATCCATTCTTCTTTGTCTTGCTCAGAACTAAAACAAAACAAAATTCAAGTGAATACAGAACATTAATGAGTTACACCTCATGAATAAAACTATGCTTTAATGCTGTTCCAACTTTCTGGAAAATTCAAGGATGCCTAGGAAGGAGTTATAATAAAAATTAAACAGAATCACTGTCAATCAAACTAATACCTTTTTATTTTTTTTTAAGAAAGTGGGTGGTACAGAGGGAGAGAGATCATTTTAAGCTGGGCGTGGAGCCCGACTGGGGGCTCGACACACGACCCTGAGATCTTGACCTGAGCCGAAATCAAGAGTCAGTGCTTAATCAACTGAGGTACCCAGGCATCCCTGAACAAATAAATTCTTAAACAGAGTTTTATTATTTTTAATTTTTAAAAAAGATCTTATTCATTTGAGAGAGCAAGCGAGCATGGGGGCGGGGGGTGAAGAGGGAGAAGCAGACTCCACGCTGAGCAGAGAGCCTGCTCTAGGGCTCTATACCAGGACCTGGAGATCATGACCTGAGAAGGAAGGTAGACACTTAACCACCTAGCCACCCAGGCACCCCTAAAACAGAGTTTTACACCATCCACTTTGCTATACATAACTTTTGACTGGGAGAGTTACATTTAGCTTCCATTAATAAATTGCCCTAATGTTAAATTTAACAACGATCATCTAGCTCAGTATGTTAGGTAACTGCAGATTTAGCATTGTACCAGATATACAACCAGTCTTCCAATTCACTTAAGAAAACACAGGGGGCTTCTGAAGGCTACTAGTCACAAACCATCTTAGAAAATATTATAATTATGCTCTAGAATCTAAAACATCTTTGTAAGTCCTCAGGGAGCTATTTAACATTTCCTTTGATAAACAATTTTGCTAGAAAGCTTTAGGCAACACCGTATTTAACCTATTACAGATAAAGCAAAGCAAACATTTTAGATGCTTGTAGGAAGGAAGTTTCACAGGTTAATGGACTTACTTCAGTATTTAATACTTTCCATTGGGAAAAATTTTCCTTGACTATAGTTATATCTATTTTCCTATTGAGGCAAATTTTATTTATTTCATCTCCCTTGCAGGTAGCTTATCCAGCTGGCTGCTGTCACAGAGTATATTAGAAAAGTCCCCATTTTAGTAGACTCTGGACAGAGCTAGATCTCTATGCTGTAGGAATTTGAAGAATGCCAAGAGTGGGCTCTGTTTATTTGCATTTATGCAAATGTTTATATGCATTTATTTGCATGTGTTTGGTAGGCTAGGGCTAAGTTGGAGTTCCAGCCTGAAGGTCACATGCCCCACTCCCAGGTATCACATAGGGTGAGTCTGGCAGGAGTTTTGCTCCTATGACATCATCTAGCTTTCATGCAAATTTCTTCTTGAGCGTCATGATGTGCCAAGAATGCTGCTGGAATCCATGCCATCAAATGGAAGATTCTGCTTATTGTTCACGTGGGGAATCCTTGGACCAAGAGCCTTGGTGGTGGCGGGGCGGGGGGGGTGTTCAATCTTGTCCCTCAAAAGAGATTTCTCACTACTGCAGTCCCCTGCCTGGATAAAATGAGTTCCACTGCTCTGGAAACACAGTTATTTCCTAGATGCTTCTAGCCTTTGAAATGCAAAGAAACTTGACAAGTCTCTAATGCTTTTTGTTTTACTTTCTCAAGTCGAATTTTTACTCCTTTAATTTACTATTTTTTTATTCATTTAGCAATATAAAATAATTACATAAAAAGTCTACAAGACAGAATACTTAATCTTCTTTTAAATATGAAAGAGGAAGCAGAGTGTAAAAGGTCAGTCTTCAGGCTGACTCATTTAGCAGGAAAAGCAGAACCCTTTTTTCCCAGGTGGCTTCGGAAGAGAATGATCTTTAAATATCTCCAAATACATACTGAACTTTGGGCTCATGTAATCCCCATAACACTCTGATGTTCTGAGACTTTCAATGTTTGTCCTTATTCTTGAAAGAATCATAGACAAGATGAAAAGTAATCACTTAATTCAGCTCTTCAATTGACCATATAATCATAAATATAACTGAGCAATGAGATTAGGGGAATAAGAAATTTAAGGAAAAATGACTGTGTTTTCAATGCTAATTAAAATGTATCCAATACTGCATACTGGAACTCTACAAAGTGATTACTGTCTGTACTTAAGAAAATTCCTCAGGTAGCTGGGGTTTCCATTTAGCCAACCCCCTCAAAACCTTGATAATCTTTCTTTTGCTGGGTTTGCAGATTTGGAAGTATGCTGGATTTCAGAGGAGTGGTGTTTTAGTTCTTCTGCAATGAAGACTCCTCTGATGGTCAGAACTACTGATGCATCCTCCCTGTTGCCAGAACCAGTCGCTCAGTGAGCCAAGCACTGAGCAAGGACTCAGGTCAGGAGCCTCCAAACACAGCATACATAATACATTCTTCCCTTGGGTTTGGTGGTTGGAGCCCAAATCCCACCATAAGGTAGGAAAAGCATGCCATGCAAAGCCAAGTCCTCTACACTTTTAACTTATGCTTGAAATGCCACCGTCTAGTCCTTAGGCCAGTCCCCTGGCAGCTAAGTAATGGCAGGTTCAGTATAGATTTTCTGTGGGAAGCCAAAGGGCTACTTCTTCAAACTGTACCAGCCTGCCCTATTTCCCTTAACTGTAATTTCACCAATTCCCTGATTCCCTGGGCAGATTCCTGCTGAAATGAATTATTCTCCTTTAAAAGTCTGAACTTCAAACTTCGACACAGTTACTACGTACAAATATCCAGGATGAGTTCATCTGAGCAGCCAGAACCATATGCTATTGGTGTAAGAGAACAAAAAGGAACAGAAGTGTTGAGTCTCCAGATTCTAGGATATCAGAACCATCAGAGTCAGGATTGGTCCTTAACCCCCTGATCTGTGTGACCTTCTGAAGGTTCCCAAATCACACCATGATAAGCCTTTGTAGGAGAGATGGAAGGCAGTCTTCTCAGGCAGATATTTCAAAACCAGACAGCACTCTATCTTTCAGAGGTTTACACACAAGGTAGCTATGAGCCATCATAGTGGTTCTCATAGTTTTTTCTTTCCAATCCTGGTTATGTTAAGCAGATGGGTGCCAGAACCCCTGTCCTTCTTCCCAACTCAACAAAGCGTGTATGGAGAAGCATGCCTTCCAGAAGTCCTGGTTTCTAGAGGCCACTATAACCCCAAATGGTCCCCTTCCTATATCCTCCAAATGTGGCAGGAGAATCATTACCTTTCATACTCTGCCTCTCTGATGCATCAATGAACATCGGCACCAAAAGGAAGGGTGGAGGGAAGGGGTTTAGGGGAGCACCCTTTCCTATGAGACTCAAAACTCTGGCTTGAACGCAACCACTTCATTCTCTGAGCACCTAGCAAATCTGAAGAGTCAATTTAATGTACTGAATTCTTACTGTCTGAAAACTACTCTCTAGGCACTAATGAAGGAATCAAAAGGGATAACATGATTCCTCCATTTTAAGAGATTCTGTTTCTTTACTTATGTCCATCCAGATTCCCAGAGGTCTATAGTGTTCATTTGGGAAAGATCCTCAGAATTATTCTGTCCTACAACTCATTCTGATGCTTTCGGAAAGCTGTGTGATAGGAAGGCTTCTCTCACCTGGCTTGCAGTTCCAGTGTTCTCTCTTTCCCAGACACCTGGAAAGTGTGTGGATATTCTTCATTGTGAGTCTCCACAATTTTCATTCCATCGATGCCTACCCTGGTTCGAACTGTGAATTTAGAGCCCACCAAGCTGAATCTTGGTACACAGTACAGCAACATGTTGTTGAACTGCAAGGACACAGGGCACACATCAGTAAATAGGAAAACAAGGAGGAAGGAAGCAACCAGTATTACAAGTAGCCCTAGGGAATATCATACCCTCTATGTGAGCAAGATTATTTAAACACTATTGAGATTTTATGCTTGCATCAAAATTACCTTATTTTAACATTTATACTTCCCTTTATTGTTACATAATATTTTATTGATATTTAAGTAAACAAATTATCATTTTGTACTATGAAGAAAATAAGTTCAATTAAGTTCAACAACAATTTATAAAGAACTTTACATACACCAGGAATTGAAGTTCTCAACCATATAAGCTGATGTCCTTAGGCAAGAAAATTCCTAATTGTCTACAATAGCTGGTAGAGGAAACAAGTATTATTTAACAATTATTTTTGCCAGTGTGCTTAATATTAAGTTAAAAAAAACCAAGTTATTATTTTAGAACATGTGGGATTAACACACTAAACTTCATGTAAAAAACGAAGTTACTGTTTTTTATTGGTCTACATCTTAAGAATTCATCATGTATGGATAGAAAAGTCATATATTTTAGCAAAAAATTTTTAAAGATCTTCTTTACCAGCTCTTTTTTTAAAATGAAGGACTTTATTTTGAAACTGTCAAATTATGTATAATGCTCCATTTCTACTCAAGAATGAACCAACCCGAATGTAAGTTGGTGCAGTCACTTTGGAGAACAGTGTGGAGATTCCTCAAGAAATTAAAAATAGAGCTTCCTTATGACCCTGCAATTGCACTACTGGGTATTTACCCCAAAGATACAGATGTAGGAAAAGAAGGGCCATCTGTACCCAATGTTTATAGCAGCAACAGCCACGGTCACCGAACTATGGAAAGAACCAAGATGCCCTTCAACGGACGAATGGATAAGGAAGATGTGGTCCATATACACTATGGAGTATTATGCCTCCATCAGAAAGGATGAATACCCAACTTTCGTAGCAACATGGACGGGACTGGAAGAGATTATGCTGAGTGAAATAAGTCAAGCAGAGAGAGCCAATTATCATATGGCTTCACTTATTTGTGGAGCATAACAAATAACACGGAGGACATGGGGAGATGGAGAGGAGAAGGGAGTTGAGGGAAATTGGAAGGGGAGGTGAACCATGAGACACTATGGACACTGAAAAACAACCTGAGGGTTTTGAAGGGGCTGGGGGTGGGAGGTTGGGGGAACCAGGTGGTGGGTATTGGAGAGGGTATGGATTGCATGGAGCACTGGGTGTGGTGCAAAAACAATGAATACTGTTACGCTGAAAAGAAAAAAAAAAAAAAAAAAAAGAATGAACCACCCCTACTAATTAGGACCAAAGAGTAAGTTTGGGGAGACTTTTAATTCACTTTTGAAAATAACGAAACATGCAAAAGGAGCGAAGACTAAATATTTAGGTTAATTTGTAGGTGGATTCCTAAAGAAGGCCCATACTTATCTTCTACCTCCTTCACATTTATTGTTTCTGACACTGATTCTAGAGTTACATATATTTTTCAAAGACAAGAACAACTGGGGACTTAAACTTTGTGCACTATGTAACCTTTCATGTCTCAGGATTATTATCTATGAAAGTCTCCGTCAGAGGATTAAATCCAGAAAAATGTCCTGTTCTGCCAGGTTCCATTTAGCTCCACAGAGCCATCAAGACAAGAGATGTGCACGGATTTCTAAAACATTTTGACCTGTTTAAGGGACACTGTCCACTGCACTCATTCTGAAAGCAGATTCTCATCAGCTGTTCCTTGCACTTTATTTTGCAAGTTCCTGTAACCGAGTGTCATACATTTCATTTCCACACTGGATAGTGCAGAAATAAAAGGGTACTAAACACCCTTGAGCACATGCACCTCGGCACCACATTTCACATTTCCACAGCCAGCAGGGAACCCTAACGACCTACCATCAACTGTCCCTTGCGTTCTAAGTGTGGCAATCTCCAGCTTCATTGCAGTACATGGGATTCAGGGACTTGAAAACACTCAGAAAGGCTCTCCTCCCCACCCCAGCTTGATTAAGACAACAGCTTGCTGCTAACTGTTCCTGTTAATGCTTTTTTCCGATCTCCTAGGAAGGCCTTCTCGGAAGGGGATTTGGCCAAGGCTGTGAACAGTGCACATAGAACTGCAAAGCAGCCACCAACAGGCACAAGGCTCGACTTTCTTTCTTTTTTCAAGATTTATTTATTTGACAGGGGGAGAGAGAGAGAGAGAGTGGGTCGGGGCAGAGACAGAGGGGGAGAGAATCCCAGAAAGGCTCCACGCCCAGCACAGAGTCCAATGTGGGGCTCCATCTCACGACTTGAGATCATGACCTGAGCCAAAATCAAGAGTCAGACACTTAACTGACTGAGCTACCCGGGGGCTCCAAGGCTCAACCTTCAGGATGGCAACCACCACCTCATGCTTCTGCAAACTGAGCGACAAATGTAATGCTATGGCATTAAATTTCTGAGTTGTCTACTACTTGTACTCAAGTTCACTTTATAAGGTTCAGCAAAGTCTTGTCATTTTACAGAAAGAGTCCATGAATATGGAAGTTCTAGGCATTTGTTTTTTGTGGTGACACTCTTACAAGATGACAGACTATCTTATAAATGGTATGTTTCTCTTTCCATTTTATGCTTGCAGGATTACATTTCCCCAATTACAGATGCTTCCTAAGTGGCATGTTACATTGTAAACTGTCAATAACTATTTATTAACCTTACATAACTCCTATCACAATCTAATGCTAGTCCATAAGTACTCTTTTTCTTCTTCCTAGAGGTCAAAGTATGAGCGTAAGGACATAAAATATTGTTTACAAAGCCGTAGATGCCCTCTGTGAACCTTGATGCTGTGGCAAAAGCCACCATCCCCTTCCATGTGGGTTTCTGCTGACACTCAAAGAGGAACTCAGAGCAACTGCAGCACCAAGGAGATGGCCTTCCCTTTCAGTGCAGGAGACTGCTTTTTATCCATGGCCAGAAGGCATGAGGGACATGTGATCTCTGGCTGGTGGGGCAAGTTCTGAAAGTGGTAGCTAAAAGGCAGCCTTGATTTTATTAAAAGCGCAGAGTCCCCCTTCCTCATCTCCAGTGGTCCTCAGCTACTTATTTCAAAGGTCTTGAAATATCTGAGTGAGACAATTCAATGTTATGTTTCACCAGAGACAATTTCATTAAAGTTTGTTTTAAAGTTTGTAAAAGTACATGATTGGAAAAAATTCCCAGTGCCTGCTCTTATATTCAAAGTTTAAATGAGTCAAGGGGCAAAAAAACTGAAAGCTATAAGGAAATAAAGACCAGAACAACAAAGGGCCAAGAATAAAACCTCTTGGGCCATTCTATGGGATAATCCGGTGATTTTTTTTTTTTAAACTTTCAGATGTCAGGTGTGTGATCAATTGATTTAGTCAACAGAGTATCTGGCAGTAACAGAAAAAAGCATGGTGTGGGGGCCAGTGAATGAGCAAACATGGGAGGCTCAGCTGAAAGCTGAAATCGGATTCTACATGCAATTGGGCTCTTTAGAGAAATGTGAGATCACCAGGGTAGGATACCCGAAAACTAGCCCTCATTTTCTAGAGACAGAAGGATAAAAATGGTACTTCTGAAGTTTCTACATACAAACAACCAAGATGCTCTGTGGCAAGAAAAGTGTGTTGTGAAGAGGAAGAGTGTGTGACAAAGACAGAGCAGGGGGTGGAGGGGGGTGGCATGCAGGAATTAGCAGAACGGGCCTATAGACATGCTTCTAAGATGGTCTTCCCAAGACGAATTCCCGTAACTCCTGCTCTATGACTCCATCCTCCTGGGAGGCAATGGCAAGAGAGGTTTAATAGCTTATAATAACTGGAACAAGATGGGTCGTTTCTTCAAAGTCACTATGGCTGTATTCCCTCAAGGCTCTTTGCCATCTGTCCTCCATATTGCTGCTTAATTTGGCTCTGCAACAAGATATTCAACCTTAAACTATTTCCAGAATAATTCTCAAATGTGAAAATTAAACCCAGGCAATCAGTTAGACACAGAACTAGAAGCTTAACTATTGAAACTGTAGTATAATCCAGAAGACAGGAAAGGAGCAGTACCAAAGCACCTAAAGGAAGGGTAAAGGCAAAGGGAAGAGACATGAACTTCTATGCATTTTACCCAAAATATTATATTAAGTATGTCTTTTTTTTAATCTGTTTTTTGATGCTTTGACATCTTGGGGCTTTGCTGACAACAGAGGAACTTGTTCCTCTTAGGATTACCCACTTCCTAGAAGTAGTAAATGACTCACCTACAGGCACGCCTTTCCTATGGAAAGCAACCCATCCAGAGCCCACCCCCGCCGTCTTCTTCTTAAGCCCTTACTGGGCCAGTATTCCCCTGCCAGGACCAGGTACCAGACAGCAGCCCCTGCATGCCCCAGAGCCTGATAGAATTATTGAAACTAGCAGATTTTAAACCTGTTTATGTTGCCTTGCCCCTTCTTTCTCACTGAGCCACAAGAAAGGCTCTTGCTCACATGTGTTCCCTCTGCCTCCTTATGGACCCCGCTGTTTTCTCAGTAACCCCATGTTATGACATGCCTCTCCCTTTGGGAATCTGTGAGTATAATGATGTTTCTCATGGCAACTGTTTCCTGATCTAGTGGCCTCACCACACCTGAGTAATAAAACCTGTATTTCAAAATAAATAGGCCTCTGAACCCTGACAGGATATCACAATCCTTGCTTTACATTTTTAGCCTTCTATATAACCTCTGAGAGGTGAAGTACTTTTGTTGTGCTCAAATGAAGACTTTTACAGTTAAATTGGACAGAATCTATAAATTTTTAAAAGTTACTGAGACATAATTTATATAATGTAAAATTTACCCTTTTAAAATGTACAATTTGTGGTTTTTAATATAGCTGTAAATTGTGCAATCCTCATTACTATCTAATTCCAGAACATTTCTGATTCCAAATGGAAACCCTATGTTCATTTCCTCTTCCCCACCAGCCCCAGGCAACCACTACTTATATCTCCTGTCTCTCTGCATTTGCCTACTCTGGACATCGCATATAAATGAAATCGTATAGAATGGACTTTTGTGAATGGCTTCTTTCACTTGTCACAGCGCTTTCAAAGTTTATCCATGTAGCATGTACCATTATTCTCTTTTTTATGGCTATATAACATTCCATTGCATAGATATACCACTATATCCATATGTCCAAATATTTTGCCTATTATGAATAATTCTGCTGTAAGCATTCATAAACACGTTTTGTGTAGACATATATTTTCAATTTTCTTGAGTTACACAAACTCAGGAGAACAGCTAGATAATATGGTGACCAAATGTTCTTTTTGGAAAATGAGAGATCCTGAACACCCCTATGCATGATATTTAGTTCCTGTAAGTTGTCCTTTCTAAGGAGGCTGTAACCAGAAAATGAAAACCTGTAAGCTCCCAATTAAACTCATATTATGGTGGGATGACTGCCTTGTAGCCCAAAGTCAGACGTGAGTCACACACTGAGAATGTGCCAGGCACTGGGTAGCCTCATGACCAATGCACCTCTGTTTCTGTGACTCTAATAACAATCATAATAACAGCTAACATCTACTGAGCTACGACTCAGTGTTAACTTATTGTTACTCCACATTGGCTAGTACTGTGATTATCAGTATACCAACAGAGAAAGGAACTAGAATGAACAGAGACTAAAAACGTAATGGCCTGGATGCCCCAGGAAGAGCTCTTGCATTTGAGATAAGCTACAGACTAAATGTCATTTCCAGGAAGTAAAGGAAGGGATAGGGACCTACTCCAGTGAAAAGGAACTATATAGCAAACTCATGTACTTTTCACAGAGATATTTTAGGCACAAACTTCACAACCTTGAGGATACATTTCCTCAAACTGGAAAGATCAAAAATAGCGATCAGAGAGGATTAGGAAGAGAACTCCGGTCAGAAAATGGTACCCATTCACCTCTAAGAATTAAAGGAAGGAGTGAATCTGAAACAAGGAACATTTGAGAAAACACATCATACCTTCCCCCGTACATTGATAGCTAAGATTATCACGGACAGGTTAAATTGTCTTCAGTTGTGTGTTACTAAAGTAACTGATATGTGGTAAGTACACAGAACAATATTTTAAAAATACTCTAAGATTTGTGTCCTTGAAAGAACAAGTTTTAGTTACTAAAGACATTCAGTTTTGTGGAATCCTAAGAGTGTTGACTAAACCAGGTTAGACAGAATTGTTTTCGTTAGCAAGCAAGCACCCTACTTTTCCAACATGTACAGAACGTTAATGAATTACTCTTATGTGACCGGCTCACACTATAATACTCACTAAGAAAAGGTAGCGTTCTTGTGCTGATGTGTTCCGAGCAGCGAGTTTGAGGATTTGTCCCTCTTTTATTAGTTCATTTGAAGGATTTACAATGTCTTCCTCCTCTCCCAACATTTCATAAATCTCTAACAGTTTCTTTAGGTTCTCCTAGAAAATTAAAACAAAACACAGCAAGACCAAATAAAGTAGTACCTTTAATAATACAATGACCTTAGCTAAAATCTGGATAATTCAGAAGGGATTGGGACTAAGCATAAATTTGGTATAAAATGTGTCAGTTATGAGCAAATTGAAACCTGGGAGAAGAGGGGAGAGGATTATTCTCCACAACACTAAACATTTAATAAAGAATCTTTTTGGTTCACTTGTATCAATTCATTTTGGTCCAAACCTACAGATAACATTAGGCTATGTTATCAATAATTATCTAACTAGAAGATTCCCATCTCCTTTGAAAATCACTTACCATTTTTCTTATTGCACTGTTAGAATGGCTTGCTGCTGTAGATATAATTTCAAGTGATTCTAAATGGAAAAAAAGAAATTAAATAAATGTATTTTGTTGTTCCTATGCTACTAGATAGCTGAATAACATATACTATAATAAGAAGAAATCTGAGACTGATGACCACATCTGACACCAAAAGCAGGGGCAATTTCCATTTACAAAACAGATAGTTTAATGAGTTCATTTGTAAGCAGATTACTTGGAACATGAGGGCATTTCCTTATAAATAGTCATATACAACTATACATATGACCTATATAATGAACCTTCAAAATTAACAAATACATGTACACTAGACTGGCACAAGGCACTTTGCCAGACGCTTTCATATATATTATGTCTCTTCATTCTGACACAACCTTGAATGGAGAGTCTGTTAGCTAACCCCGCCTGGCAGAGGAGACAAATGGCAAGTGAAGTGGCTTGGTTAAAGTTCCACAACTATGATACTCTAGGGCCACACTGCAACCTACGTCTTCTGGCTCAAAGTTCTACAACATTTCAGCAGGAATACTATTTTGTGAGTTTTATGAGCAAACTAAACACCAAGCATAAACAACTTTCTTCGGGAAAACACACTCACAGTTCTAGTCTTGCTCAGGTGACAGGGAATTCTCTGATGCCAATGCTGATGGAAGGTTTTATGCTGAACAGGTGGTGGGAGAGATGGGAATGGGAACTGCCTGGTATGGGCAAGGGAGGGCCTCCAGCACTGCTGGCAAGGAATGTGGAGGTTGAGGCCTCCTGCTGGATCAACCCCAGGGAATGCCCTCAATCCTAAATCATGACCTGCTCTTTCCTTTCTATCTTATGAATACCAGCCTGATTAATTCTGTTACTACAACAACCTTATTTCTTCTAGACCAAATTCTCTGCCTTCTTTGTTCCATGGCTGAACAAAATGTACTTGTGTTGCTTTCTTCTCTCCTTTGGGTCTCTAAAAGCACCTCTGTGATTTCCTTACAATTTTAGGAGCAAAGGGCAACCAAAGAGAGTAATAAAATACCCTACAGTGTTGCTAACTTTCTCATTGTTGACACTGTCACCTTAGGGCAAGTCTAAGTCTTTGAGTATAGAAGAAATTGAATTTTTATTTAGATTTTGGAGGACTATCCTGATTGGGGCAATTCTGTGCATTCCCTACAGGATCCAAGGTAGAGGGAGACAGAATAAGATAACCTGGGATCAGCAGTTGGAAGAGAGGAGTGGTGACCCTACTACTACCACTTCTGCCACTAAAACCAACCATGCAGCCAGATGAGTGGGAAGTGGGCATGAAATGGAAAGTGGAAGACGTCAAGTCAGGATAATTCTAAACTGTAAAGGGCGAAAGGGAAGAAGAGAAGTTCCTGTGGTTGTTGACTCACTTGGGTGGTGGGAGAAGTGTATCAGAGAAAGCCTCTGTTCAAAAAAAAGACCCAGGCTGCCAAGACCAAAGACTGTATTCTGTATTCCTCATCTCTTGCCAGGATACACTTATAATAAAGACAAGAAATTATTAGCAAAGTATCTATGTTTTAAGATTGTACAGCAGCATTGTTAGTTCTTGACACTAAGCCATTTCTATCCCTTAAATTTGCATTCTGCCCTGCTTTTTTTTTTTAATTAAAAAAAAATTTAAAGTAAGTTATACACTCAAAGTGGGACTTGAACTCATGACCCCTAGATTAAGAGTCACATATTCTTTTGGCTGGGCCAGGCAACCACCCCCTCATAAATTATTATTTTTTAAGTAAGTAAGCTATACAACCAATGAGGGGCTTGAACTTATGACCCCTAGAGATCAAGAGTCATTGGCTTTGATTTTTTTAAAGTACAAGAGAAAGCTAAAGTATTGAAACTCCTGAGCCTTAAAAAAAAACCCCATTCATTAGGACCTAATGAAAAAACAGAAGACAACGAGAATAGGAATAAAGTTTTCCTGGGAAGACGTTAACTGACACTAAAAAGCATCATTTTCTCTTCTCTTTCAGGGTAGGTAGAGCCAACTTTGCTTAGGTTATTTTTACATAGTAGATGTCATTTTAGCTTTCTTGGTATACATCAACTTATCTAATTAACCAGCAGCACCAGTAATTCTGAATGGTTGTATTCTTCCTGTGAGAGGGTAATTATGTATTGCTAGGCCAGATGTCTCTAAGACTATAGTTTCAGATTTTCAAGTTAATGATTAACGTGAAATCAGCAGGAGAAATGAGATTTGCATTGCTCTAAACCTATGATTTGGGCTCAGAAGTGCTTGCCTAACTGAGATGTTGATGACAATTTCCAAGGAGGTTATTTTTTGGCAGCAATATTTTACTAAATTGGCTGTGAGATATATCTTGCTTGTTAACCACAAGGCTGCCTGGTCACTTGATTACCCCATAATAGAGAGAGGGCGGGAGAGAAGCATTTACTTTTAGCATCATTCCAGTCCGGAGATTCAGGGGGCAACTTCCTCAGGTAGTCCTTTAGGAGCATCTCATACCGGGGAATCCGCTGAACAGGCTCCAGCATGTGATGCTGCAAAGTCAAGCTCCCACAGATCTTCTGTTTCTACAATGAGAAAGGTTTTTGAAGAAAGATTTAAAAATTAAGTCGGCCAATGTAAAAACTCACTGTCCTGCAGAACTTTCCTCAAGGGCAGTATTTCCCTACAAAGTGTGGTCTGTGGATCACTTGCATCAGATTGATCTAAAGCATTGTTAAAAATGCAAATTCTGGGGAGCCTGGGTGGCTCAGTGGGTTAAGCCTCTGCCTTTGGCTCAGGTCATGATCTCAGGGTCCTGGGATCCAGCCCCGCATTGGGCTCTCTGCTAGGCAGGGAGCCTGCTTCCTCCTCCCTCTCTCTCTCTGCCTGCCTCTCTGCCTACTTGTGATCTCTACCTGTCAAATAAAATAAATAAAATCTTTTAAAAAAATGCAAATTCTGAACCCCTTCCCAACCTATGAAACCAGAATCTCTGAGGCTAAGGCCTGCGAACATACATTTTAAAATACCCCAGATTCTTCGAACATTAAAATTTAAGCCCCATCAATCTAGTCTAAGAACAGAAAGAAAAATCAAGTAGAATGTTAAGGAAGAAAATTCCAGATTGCTGCCAACCACTTCAGTTAGTCACTGGAAGGGTTTGTGTGGTCACATTATTGAATCATACTTCAGAGCTTTTTAAAAGATGCATATATTTAATGAGGTTCACTAAGCACAACTGTTTTAAATGACTTTGGACTCAACAGAAACTATTTAATAATAAGGTTACCATAAATGTCATTTCCTTTGAACTTAAAAAAGACTACACATAGAAGAATAAGATCTGAGCATCTTATTATCTCTCAGAAAATTTTAATTTTTCATTAGGCCATGTCAGTCTTTTCCATTAGAAACTGAACTCTGCGAATATATCTCCTTTTCTTATAGCAAAATTGAGTCTATAGCCTTTATTTTTAATAAAATGTTAACAGAAGACAGGGAAAAGATTACTTGAAAAATAAGATGTGTTCCTGTTCATATTAAATAAACCAGGAATCCCATTAAGATATTTATTGAACTCATACCACGATCAAGGTACTATCGGGTGTTAAAGTTGTATTAAGACATAATGTTTGCATTCAAAGAAGCTAAAGCCTTCACAGACAAGAGAGCATTCGACATGAACTCCAATGAGGGCAGCCTCTGTTGGGAAGGGAAAGGAAGATCAGGGGACAAGTGCAGAAAGAGGGACCTTGGAGAGCATGCCCATGGCAGTGGGACATGTAACATTGAGTTTGGCTGGACAATATAAATATATAAATATAAAATAAGATATATATATATATATATATATATATATATATACAGGGGATGAGGAAGAAAAAATCTGGGGTAATAAGTCAAGCTAAGTTTAGACTTGCTTCTTCTAATGCAGGTTTTCATGCAGGAGAGCAATATTGTTACATAGGAGATGTATTAATATTAACCTACTGCAGTATGGCTTTAGAGAGATATGGGGAAATTAGTTTGGAAGTTATGGTGCGGACCAGGAAAAAAACGTATAAAGAGCCTGAAATCAACATGGAAGCTGAAGAAATAATAGCTTTCCTTAATTAAGTATAAAATATTAATGATATAAGTTTAGTCATTCCATTTGATTCTATAGTATATGTGTACAGGAAATATATATATTATATGTAGATGAAATATAGGAAAATATTACTGATCCCCACATTTTTACATGAGGAAACTCTGGCTCAGAGAAGTCCAGGGACTAAGCCGCAAACTTCTAAACTTAGTTGGTTGATTCCCAAGGACTATGACAGTTTACAGGTAGGAAATAACTAGAAACAACGACCCTAGAGGCATCTGTAGGACATGATGGATAAAGGACCAGGAGCATGTGGGTGTGAAGGCCAAGAAGAATGTGAGGAGTCAACCCTGTACTCTGTCCCCATTCCAGTTTAAGCCAATGGGGCTGGTAAAAGAATCAAAGGAGTCAGTGTTCGGAAAGGTAGATGAGTGCTTAATCACAAGAGAAGAAAAAGAAAGAGTGAATGGAAAGAGGCAGGACTTTTGTCTATGGCTAACGGAAAAGACGGTAAAAAACCTCCCTGGAAAAAGCAACTAGAAAGCTGGATAAAACTGATAAAACCACCATTTTGGCAATCTGGAAATAGATCAAAGGCACAGAACAATCTGAAAAGCATTTATAAAACCTGTTGACCTTTGGGTAAGAACAATGAGAATCTGTGGCATTCTGGCCTGGGGTCACACCCATTCCTCCCTTAGCAAATGAAGATTCAATGACTGGAAGGTTCAGTTTGGGTGGGACTGGCTGTGGGACTGGCATATCTCTGCTAAAGTTGAGAGGGCTCCTTAGATTTGGAATGGTGGGCAATGCACTCATCCAGCAACACCGTCAGTGAAAGTGAAGGTCGGTGAGTAGGGAAGACCAATGGCTCTACTGGCCTGAAGCTGCAGTTGGAGGCTGGGGTGAGAGGAGGCTACATAATAATATTCTTGGCTGAGGCTGTGTGAATGATCAGCAGAGACAGAAGACAGCTTAAGCCAGCACAGTCTCCGGGCTACCATGAGGCTTGAACATGCAAACAGGAGATGTAAAAGGGTCCAGTAGACTTGAAAATGGTCTGATCTTTAAAATGCGTTCCCCTCTGCATAGACCGGTCCATCAGCAGACAAGAGCTTACTGGCTCTAGGTAGTTTGTTTAGTCATCTCTGTTCAATAACTGTTTGACCCCATAACCTACACAGACATAGGGGCAATCCCTAGAAAGCTGAGATCACACACACACCCACACACAGAAATATTAAACCATATAGTGAGTAGAGATATTGGCAACTGCATACCAGAGGATTTTATAGATTTAGTCTAAGCAAGTTACTACGCAAACAAAACTAACCAAAGCCACTTTCAGTGGGGGAAATCAGAATACAGAGTTGCTACAATAGGTTACCTAAGATGTCTAATATTCAGCAGGAAAAAAAAAGGGAGAGAGACATTCGAAGACATAGTAAACTTTTACTATTTAGTAAACTGAAAAAAAAGCAATCAAAAGAAATTGTCTCTGAATACAGATACTGGATGTAGCCAACAAAGAGTTCACTGTGGCTATTATAAAAATATTAAAAGAATTAAAGGAAATTGTATTTGAAAAACACGAAAAGTATAACAACAATGAATGCACAAATAGCAATTTCCAAGAAGGAAAGAGGCATTAAAGAAAGAACGAATGGAAATTCTGGAGTTGAAAAGCACAAGAGCTGAGAGGAAAAATGCACCACAGGGACTTGACGGCAGATTCCAGACAGCAGGAGAAAAAAAAATCAGTGAACTCAAAAAAAGACTCAGAGAAATGATACAGTCTGAAGAACAGAAGAATGAATAAAGAAAAATGAACCATCTCAGAAACTTGTAGAATAACAAGAATACCAACATATGTGTAATTGGACTAAATTATTTGAAGAAATAATGGCTGAAAACTTCTCAAATTGATTAAAAAACCCTACACGTCTAAGAAATTCAACTCTAAGAAAAATACAGTCACATTAGACACATCCTATTCAAACTGTTGAAAGACAAAAGTAAAGAAATAAATTTGAAAATATCAAGAGAAAAACAATTCATCACATACAGGAAATATCAATACAGTTCCTAACTTTCCATATAAAACAAGAGAGGACAGAGCACAGTGAAATGCTATTCATTTTGCTGAAAGAAAAAAAAAAAACAAAAACCAAACTATTAACCAAGAATTCTGTATCCAGCAACACAATTCAACAGTGTAGAAAAAATAAGGATATTCCCAGATAAACAAAGACCAAGAAAATTTGTTGCTATTCATTCTCTGCCTTGCAAGAAACACTTACCACTTTATGTGGAAAGAAACTTACTTCAGAAATGGCAAATATATGGGTTAATAAATATATTTATACATATATTTTTTCTCACATCCTTCCTTCCTTCAAAGACATAAAGTTATAAAAAATAATTACATCTCTGTATTATTCTATTTATAACATACAAGGGTAATATATCTCAGAATAAAAGCATGGAGCATAGCAAAATGCCTGTATTTTACAGAATTAAGGTCAGTATTAATCTGAAGAAGACTGTGATAAATTAAAATGCATATTATAATTCCTCCAACAAACAGCGGGAAAAAATGAAAAAGTTTTAAAATTTAAAGGATTAAAATGGTAAAATAAAAAATATTTATCTAGCACAAAAGAAAACAGAGAAGGAGCAGCAGAATCCCTGCCATAAAAATCTTATGTGATCTATAGAATTCCTTTTTGATTTTTAAACTTTATTAAATAATAAGTCATTAACAACTTTAACTAGAGAATCAAACAGAAATTACCATGGTGTTATCAAAGCATATTATCCAGGTTTGGTGAAATTGAAAAAAAAAATCAGTATACATATATAAAGTCACACACACACACACACACACACACACACCCAGAATAATAATGTTTGCAGAATGTCAGGGTTTATGGCAATCATTCTTTATATTCATTTATATATTTATTCTATCATCTCAACCTCTAAAAGAAAGAGAGGCATAAACCTGAATGGGAACTCACTTTATAAATTTATGTGGATCTTTATAAAAGCTAGACTCAAATGTAAATGGAGAATTTACTGCTTAGCACAAGGCATGTGCTCAATAAATATGTTAATTTTGCAAAGATGATTTTTGCATAATTCAGAACAGCATGGAATTTGGCTGTCTCAGACAGATGTCTCAATTTAGAAGACCAATGTTCTAACCCCTGAGACATAGAGCCTCACAAGATGTCTCAATCTCAAATTTAGATCTAGAAGACCTTATGATTTGTACAGAAAAATTAACTCATAGCCTTGAACAAAAGAGTCCAATTACCTGAATTTCTTCAACTACTGATTTGAACTGGGGAATACGCTCGGTCATGTTTTTAACCAATTCCATTGCGTTATCAAATCCCTTCACATATTCTCCATACATCTTAAGGAATGGTGCCAATTTCTGAAGGATGTCACCAATTCTAGGGGTTGTTTCCCTGTACAAAGAAACAAAGCATTAAGATTTCTTACAGAGTATGTTAATTAATAGGACTCCAAATGAAGTGATCACTTTTTATACACTCCCTGTGCTTTATCAGACCCACCTTGCTGTGAGACGGGTAGAGAATGAAGTAGTACCTTTTTTTTTTTTTTTGTTTTTAAAGATTTTATTTATTTATTTGACAGGCAGAGATCACAAGTAGGCAGAGAGGCAGGCAGAGAGAGGAAGGGAAGCAGGCTCCCCGCTGTGCAGAGAGCCCGATGCGGGGCTCGATCCCAGGACCCTGGGATCATGACCTGAGCCGAAGGCAGCGGCCTAACCCACTGAGCCACCCAGGCGCCCCGAAGTAGTACCTTTTTAAAGGGAGTTTAGGAATGACATAGTAAAGAGACCTGCTATGGAGTTTTTAAAGCTCCAGATTACCCCCTGATATCTCATCTCCACTAGTCAAAAGTTAGTTTGGAGAGCAGAGATGAAATTCTTTTCAACCAAAGCTAATAGTGTACCACAATTCCTATCAGTGGTCTTTATAGTAAAAATTTAACACCCATGTTCGGCTATAGCTCTCTGTGCAGTATTGTTTCAATTTAAAAGCAAATAACACAGCACCTAACGTGACTGCCTTAGACATATCATTTGACATCTAATCCTCTTACCATTCTTGCATTCGTTTTTCCAGCTCTGGCAATAGGAATTTACTATGGAAGGCATTTATTGACGAAATATTAGAAAAGATTTTATTCACCATCTCTGCTGGAAATGAGCCTCGATTTGCTTCTTCTAATAATTTGCAGTAAAATACCTGAATAAGAGAATAAAGCAAACATTACTTTAAATTTATTGGTTCCCACCCAGCACTGTGCTAGGCATATAGTGGGCTCTCAGTAACTTTTGTTCAATCAACAAAAAGGTTCATGGTTCAAGAAATAAATCATTTTTCAAATGTCCGAATATATGCTTTGAGAAGAAGGAATTAGAAAACTTGACTCTAAGCTAAGCCATGCTTCTATCTAGGGGATTTTAATCTTTCTATGCCAGAGAATTTCCAACTGAGGTAAAGGGATTTACTCCTATCTACAGGTAGAGTTAAGAGAGATGGAAAACTTTATATACAACTGTGGTATTTTTCACTCCTCTTTATGTTTTGAATGATTTTGAATGATTTTGTGGCATATATCATATTGCCCTTTACTGTAATTTGTTGGCATAAATCTCATTTTCCCTATTAAAACTGTATGCCCCCTTGGGGAGGGAGGCCATCATAGTTTAGTTCCCCCAGCAGAATAGGTGCTTAGTAAGTATCTGGTCAGTGGATAAGTAAAAGTATTTCAGCTCACAGATGTTTCCCTGCTTTTAAGTAATAATGCATGATAACCTGAACACTTAAAAGAGGATAAAAGGATCTCCTGCACATAATAATGAATATCTTAAAAAAAATAAAAAATAATTGCAGTCTTAAGCTATACTCCACTAGAGCTACTATACCTCTTAATTACCATTCTGTTAAATGTAGGCAGAAGGAGGTCTGTTCCCTCATAATGTCCAGATGGTTGTTAATTTTCTAAATTCACCTCCACTGCATTTTCTTGGGAGGCAAAAAGAACACAAAATTATGTCCTTAAAAACTCCAATAGATAGGATATTGTAAGTATTTAAGACTCTAAAATTCTAAAAGGTCAACAACAGTAGCTGACAAGCTAATATGGCTAAAATAACAAAAAACAAAAAACCACAAAACCTGATTAAGAGAAAAAAACATGGGAATACCTAGTATTTCAGGTCTGTAATACCCATGAGGAGAAAAATTGTTTTAAATATACCAACTCAACATGAATTGATGGACTTACAGTGAAATTTTTTGGAAAGTGAGTGTTTAAGTCACAAACTCCTTATTTCAAAGAACAGAACCCTAATCTGATCCCTTAAGGCTCACTCTAACAGGGCTAGAGTTCACTCTAAGAACCGATGATAAGAAGGTTGCCCAGGATGGCATGCTCCCCTGAAGCTCCAGTTTTCCAATGGCAGAAGTCGGACAATTCTTTTTAGAATCAACACTTAAACATGGCAACTTTCTCTTCTAGTAAGAGGAGACTCTATGAACAATCTACCAATTATCTTATTCTTTTATTATTAAAACAATATTAAGAGGCCTTGGTTTTCAAGTGCTTCTTATGATGTATTTTAAAATTTTGCTTATAAATGTACATGTATTTGAAATGATACTCAAGGCTCCACCATGATGAGAGTACAAAATGTGAGAAAGTAGGATGTCATTTCCAAAAAAAATTGACCATGCAACTTTACACCAGGCACTGTATTAGAGGTCTCCTACAAGCTTGAACAAGTAAGTGAAGGCTCAAAATTCTTCTGGCCCTATTACTCCGTCAATTCAGAGGACTCACATAGGGGTGAAGAGTGCATGAGACAAACAGAATCAGTGACATATTCATGTACAAATGAGAATTGCCAGTCTCTTATTTGGATTATAATGGTAATAGATATGTATAATATAATAGATCCTAGGGATCTAGGATCATAATAAATGGTCAAGAAACATAGTAGTGTTGATTTTTGAAAGATACAGATCAAGGCATTTTGTGACTCAAGAGTCATTGAATCTGTTCTTTATGAATTGAAAACCCTTTGTGTCTGGTGAATTCACTGCCAAAGCTAAAAATCCTAAAGATTTCCTTGAAGAAAAAGCTCCCACTGGCCAAAAACAGTCATGTCCTTTATAGTTTCTAAAACCCCTTGATTACTAAAAATGATGTACAATGCCAAAAAATTACCCTGAAAGGGAAAATCTTACCTGATCTAAGAGGTCAAGTCGGTTGACATAAGCTCTTTCTGTAAGCAAAAGTTCATTGGCTATTTTGTGAAGCTTTTGCTCATTAGTTTCCTAAAAATACAATAGATATTCACATATTAGAAGATAAATCCTGGACATATTTTTCAAGTAATAAACAACCTTATCGAGTTTTCTCAAGCTTCTCAGGTACTCAATTCCTTTCAGCCATGAAGGACCATCCAACCAGAAATGAACAAAATTAAAAATAAACAATCTGCTAGGTTTAACTTATAACATCTTTAGCCTAAATTTAGTCAAAATTAACATTATCATCTTTGTCCTTGAAACACCTTTTATCTTTCTCAGACAGTGTATTTGGCTCATTTTCTTCCTGCCTCTCTCAGGCCACCCTTTAGCTGTGATTTCATCAATCTATCAGATATCTTGTCTAATTATTAACATTATGCACCCAACTTTTTGCCTTTTTAAAAAATGTTAGAGAAAATTTCAATCACATATAACAGTAAAATGAACCAGTATGTACCCATTACTGAGATTCAACAGCTATCAATTCATTGTTAATCTTGTTTCATCTATGCTCACCTCCCTCTACCCATATTATTTTAAATACAAACATTTTATTACTTCCTCAGTATATGTTTCCTTAGCCCTTAAATATATTTGTATAGTTTTGCCAGTTCCATGAGAATGGGAACATTTTTTTCTTGCTAACATTGTAACTCTCTTTCTTCAATAAAATACTGACATTCAATAAAATATTGCTGAATGAATGAATGAGTAGCAATCATCCAAAATTAACTATTGTTGGACATTTATTACCACTTTGGCATGCTGTTAATGTAAGACCAAACTCATCTTTTCAGGAAAACCTCTTTCCTACTACCTCCCTCCCTACCCCATGCCACCCACCCCACCCCGCCAGAACTTTACCAGTCTGGTAATGGTTCCATCCCTTTCCAGTTACCTGGCTTTGGTATCTTGAATCACTCTAAACTTAGTTCCCTACCACAAAATCCAGCTGTTATGAGCTCCTACTTATATTAGCATCCAACATTTAAGTTTTCATCACTGCCACCCAGTTTTGCTCATACCATATCTCAAGTCCAGGCCAGTCACCAGCTCCCAGTTGATCTGATTCTACCTTTTTTTTTTTTTTTTTTTTTTGGCTAGTTAGACCCACTTTGTATGCTGTTGTATGAGCAATCTTTCTAACTCTGCTTTGCCAAGATCTTTCTACTTTCCATAGAAGGAAAACTTCCAACAGTCCTCTGTTCACCAGCAGAATAAAATCCAGACTCTGTGTATCATTCAGGGTTGTTCAAATCCCATCTCTATTCACTTCCTCAGATGTTTTTCTCATTGTATTTCTGGAGGTACCCTTCCCTCCAAACAAACCAATCTAATACACTGTGACCCAAACATGTCCATTCCCAAACCTTTCTTCTTTCCATCCTCTCTGCATGGCATACATTCTTGCTTTATCTCTCTAGGTGTTTAAGATTTACTTTGTTTTTGGATGGCCTGCTGAATTTCTTCAAATCCTTGTCCATGGAGCCTTCTTCAACTATCCAAAGCTCTTGGGCTTGGTCCTATCAGAACTCATTTTCTATTTCTTTACCCCCAACCCTTTTTTTCATTTTGTATTTTATATGTGAACATCTTTTTGTTGAAAAATTTCTACCTAGCTACTTGCTGAAGTACCCTTTTCATTCTAGGCAAGTATGAAGCCCAGTAAGTGTTTAGTAAAAACTAATAGGAAAGCAGAACAAAGTATATTCTAAACCAGTGTCTAATTTGTGTGAAGGCTACATTTTAAACTATGTATAAAATGCTATTAAGCTATAGGAATGCTTCACTGTGTTCAACATATTAGGTCTACTTTTATGCTTTATGCAATATCTGTTTTCTTTTTTAAAAGATTTTATTTATTTGACAGAAAGAGATCACAAGTAGGCAGAGAAGCAGGCAGAGAAAGATGGGGAAGTAGGCTCCCTGCTAGGCAAAGAGCCCGATGCAGGGCTTGATCCCAGAACCCTGAGATCATGACCTGAGCCAAAGGCAGAGGCTTAACCCACTGAGCCGCCCAGGCGCCCCTAAGCAATATCTGTTCTAATGTGAAAAATTATCATTTTGCTTTTTACAGCAGCACTGAAATGAGGTATTTTTATGTGAAGTCTTCAGGTAAAGTAACATAATACTATGTAAATAATTTGTGGTCTCAAAAATATTGAGATAAAAACTATGTAGTCATTAAATCCCACAAGTAGCCAAGGTTTTGGTTAAACAACAAATTCAGGCTAAAGTATTAGCATTATCATTTGCCTATTTGACATCCTTTCCTTCCATTTCTTAATGATATCTAGATTGGTTCAGTGTATCTACAACTATGTGTAGCCTTTCCTTTGGAGAAATTATCCTCATGCCCCAGATCAAAAGGACAGCCCTGACTGGTATAAAATCGAGAATACAGAGTGATTGGTTCAGGAGCCAATGAAACACGAGGGTAGATGCACTGCATCTCCCCCTCCTCTCCACCCCACGCCTTTCTCCTATCACCAGCTTCTGTTAACAGATCTGCTCTTTTCCGGAATGTTGTGTAAATTGAATCACACAGTATGTGCCTTTTGAGACTTGTGTCTTCCACTTCTCAAAATGCATTTGAGACACATCCTTGTTGTCATTAGTATTAGTGGCATGCTCTTTCCAAGCCCTTAGTTTTATTCTAATAGTGATACTACTGTAACTTTTTGACTAATTCACATACTTCCATATGCTCTGATTCTGGTTTTAACAAATACCTCTAAAGAAAACCACCCAGCAAAGTTTGTGCCATGAAAAAATAATACATCTTTTATGAGTCAGCGAATTCATTAACCAACAGGTCATATGGTCAGTTATTGCTATGCAGTGAAGTCACTCCTGAGGTCTTCCACATCCTACAGGATCTTAAATAGGAAGCTTATAATAAAAGATCTTTTGCTGACTCTAAATCATACTTTAGCTGGACTTGGCAAATTGAAGGTATTCTGATCATAATTTGCAAAATCCAAGGGAGATGTCAGCAGCTATTAGCAAAAACCTGTGTCCTTCCACACAGATGGTCTTCTAATGTCAGGTCCCTGACCTTGCCAAAACCAACACAAGATAAGCAAGAGTAAACTTGCTGACATTCAGTTTCATCACATCATATAGGTTTATGAAAAGTTACTAGGGATTTTTGTGGTGGAGGTGAGGAAATCACGGACCCAAACAACAATTTCACTAGAAGAACAGCTAACAGTTATTCACTGATTGCTTGTTATGCACAAGACACTGTTATATTTTATTTACATAAGTTGACTAAACCTTATGATAAGTCTATAGCATAGATACATTATTCCTGTTTTATAGGCAGCCACACATACAACAAGACAAAAATTCCAAGGTTCAGAAAAGCCAGGTGACTTGTCCCAAGTCACAGTTAAAAGGTAACTGAATCAGATTCCAATCACATAGGAAAGCATGGGACTCTACGTCATGGTTCTCACTCTTACTCTTCTCTGCAACTAGAAACAAGACTGTAATAAGTGTCTGCAAGGGATACAGACTAACAAAACTAACAAAACTACCCACTTGAAAATGAAATGTGGTTATCTACTAGGCATTTGAATTTACACATTCTTTCTCTAATATAATTTCTAATTATAACAGGCTTCTCAGCATCTTATTAAGAATTATCAGATATTGGGGCGCCTGGGTGGCTCAGTGGGTTAAGCTGCTGCCTTCGGCTCAGGTCATGATCTCAGGGTCCTGGGATCGAGTCCCGCATCGGGCTTTCTGCTCAGCAGGGAGCCTGCTTCCCTCTCTCTCTCTCTCTCTTTCTGCCTGCCTCTCCGTCTACTTGTGATCTCTCTCTGTCAAATAAATAAATAAAATCTTAAAAAAAATTATCAGATATTAAAAATTCAGTCATATTTGATATGATGATATAATGGTTTCTAACTTTATTTCATTTCATTTTATTTATTTTTTAAAGATTTACTCATTTATTTGACAGAGAGACAACAAGAGAGGGAAAACAAGCAGGGGAAGCAGGAGAGGGAGAAGCAGGCTTCCCACTGAGCAGGGAGCCCAAAGTGGGGCTCGATTCCAGGACCCTGGGATCATGACCTGAGCCGAAGGCAGATGCTTAACGACTGAGTCTCCCAATTTCATTTTATTTTTTAAAAAGTATTTTATTAATTTGAGAGAGAGAGCAGGAGTGGGGTGAGGAGCAGAGGCGGGGTGAAGAGCAGAGGGAGGGGGAGAAGCAGACTCACTGCTGAGCAGAGCGCCCAAAGCAGAGCTCCATCCCAGGACCCTAAGATCATGACCTGAGCCGACAGCAGAGGCTTAACAGACTGAGCTACCCAGGCGCCCCTGATGGGTTCCAACTTTAAAAAATTAGTTACTGAAACTCATCTGTGAGTACATTTAGGGAGAAATACCTGATCCGTCTGTGAGCATGGGCCTCTACTACTCTACTACTCTGTCCGACTTATGCTTAAATAACAAACCTGTTTTAAAATTGCTGATACACTTGGGATACAGCATATTTTTTTTTAAAGATTTTATTTATCTATCTATTTATTTATTTGACAGAGAGATCACAAGTAGGCAGAGAGGCAGGCAGGGAGAGAGGGGGAAGCAGGCTCCCTGCTGAGCAGAGAGCCCGATGCGGGGTTTGATCCCAGGACCCTGAGATCATGACCTGAGCTGAAGGCAGAGGCTTAACCCACTGAGCTACCCAGGTGCCCCAGCATGGAATTTTTTTTAAGTAGAAAGTTAAATATGTCAAGTTATATAATATTGTCTCATATTATTTGCCACTTAAAACTATATACCCCTACTTTGTGCTCAGCACTTTACTAACAGTCATATATTCTTAATGATTTTTTTGGAAAATAGTAATAGCCACACAATATTGATTTAACAAAAAAAAATCCCAGACTTCACTTTTTAACATAATGATAAATATGCTATAGAAAAGCCATCTTACCTTTGATATTCCTCTATAAAATAAGCAGATTTTTTTTCACTTGCAAAGAATCACCACATCCCTACACTGAAAG